ATGAAGGAGTAATAAGAATAATACTGACAAGGACCATGACCGTTTCGCGAATTTCCAGGACGACTTTTGGGAAGGAATAATAATAATAGAAATATTGATAAGGATCATGGCCGTTTCGCGGATTTCCAGGATAACTTTTACGAATGAATAATATCAATAATAATATTGACAAGGATTATAGCCATTTCGCGATTTTCCAGGACGACTTTTATGAAGGAATAATAACAATAGTAAGATTGACAGGAACCATAGCCGTTTCGCAATTTTCCAGGATATATATCACATAATTTCCAAGGATTTTATATAGGAAATGAGCAGACAGAGAGCAGATACAAAGGAAAGATATAGAATTTCAAATCTACAGATAGGAGCAGATATAGAGCAGATATATTAGACAGATAAAGATTTTTGACCTTGCGGCGCGCCCGCTTCCTGATCTAGGCCCCCTTGTGCTTTGCCATGATGATATCTATATATCAGATGAGAAGGATATCAATGCTGATTCCATATATCTTTGTTCCGCTGCCAATATTCATATTAGATATATCTAATCTTCGCGACCAGCAGATTGGACCCGATCTTGGAATTCTGATTGATCTTTATCCGCTCCTTCAGGAAACGCCAAGCCCTATCAATCCCCTGGATGCCAGCCTTCACGATAATTTGGCGTCCGTCTGGAAGCTGGAATTTTTCCAGACGAACGAAGATTGGAGGCTTTCAGATCATTTTTCCTCCGCGGAATACCTCCTTTTTCTGACGAATAATAATATCATAGAAATCTCCTACGGATTTTATTCCGATAATTCCGGATTATCCTTATATAGGATGATCGAACGATTTTTCAGCTATTTGAAGGCGATCTTGATCCAATCCTCTTTGCGTACGGCTCCGGCATCTGCGATTCTTTTGGATATAAGCAAGGAATGCAATCGCAATAAGACAAGAGATGACGGCTTCCCACGGGGCGCCATGGCCAATCATTGATCCCATTTCATGATCTTATTGGGGATGGCAAGATTCTCTATCGGCATCAAATATTTGTCGAAGACTGCTTCATCTGCTTCTATCTCCGTCTATTTTACGTCCTTGCCATTCCCGAACACCATGCGTGCTTGCTCTGCATCTGCAAAAGACTTCCTTGTAGTGATAAGGTTCTTCTCCATTTTCTCGAGCGCTTTGTGGTTGATGCCCAAGACGATGAGAATGGAGCTGAGCGGCACGCCTGCAAGTCGCAGAAGGAGGGCACTGACTTACAAGCCTAATAAATATCCTTCCGACCTCATAATTGATAGAAAGATTGCATATAGATATTGAGGAAGGATGAATTTCTGGCAGGCTTTGCATCTGCAGTGGTACCATGGAATTAACCGTCTCCAGGACTTGAGATCTGAGATAGCCCCCAGATTGCAGAAAGGACTCTTCATATGAATCCAATCTGGCAACAGATCGTCCTTGAGAGGGATCTTGACCGCCGTATCTTCATCGGTTCCTATGAAATCCTTCAAATTCTCCTTCTATTTGAGGCGATCTACGCGGATATTCACGAAATTCTTGATATATGGAGTCGCTCTCCATATCTTCATTTGGACTTTGCTATCTATTGGATTTTTGATGAGATTGGCCTTCAAGATCAAATAGATTTTGCCCTTCTTCGACCTCATATAATGATAAGAGGATTTCTTCTTGATGACCTGCTTTCTCATGACCACGTAAAGCCCCGAAGTCGGCCTCTGCACAAGAATAAATGAGCAAGCTCCGAGCAAAACGCTGATCCCAAATTGAGGATAATGCGGTGGCTTCCTATATAAATAGCAAGATCAGAGGTCAGATATCTACTAGCAGTTCGCACGTGCCATAGCAGCAAGAAATTATTCAGAGCGCATGAGCTTGCAATGATACCAAATTTTTCCGATTGCTCTCCAAGGGCGGCAATTGGGTTTATACTATCTGGACCATATTAGATAGCTCTCAATGTCCATTCATGCCAAGGGCGGTCTCTTCATCCGGGTCGACTTCTGAAACCAATATCTGCTATTCATCCGGATGCAATGGCATTGACGAAGGGGAGATAGAGATACTGTCCAATCTCGGATATTGGAGATTTGCCACGGATTCTACGAGCCTTCCTTTCAGATGAGATTGCAATATCGAATGAGGCACGGTCCGCCCGATTGATTTTATATCCGAGGCCAATATATTGGGAGAGGCAAAGATCTCCTGGTGCTTATTCAGCAATCTGCTGAGGCGAATCAGGCGAATCCGAGAGCTCATGAATTGGCTGCAGCCATTTCTAGAATATATTATTTCAATATTCGATATAATTCTTAATATTGGAGAATCGATTCAAGAATTCTTTATATTCATCAATCATGATCCCTTGCGTAATCGACCTCATAGATTATAATTTCCTACTTCAAAATATTATAGAAAGATTTTGAGCTTGACGATTCGACGGACTATATCATCAGGGCTTTCCGAGGGCTGAATGACATATATAGTGGCATTCGCGCAAACGAATATAACATATCCTTTTAAATCTATAAATATGTCCTTCTTATAGGTTTCGTCAAAAAGAGGACCAATCAATTTGATGAAAATCTCGAGGTCTCCAATAGTGTCCGAAGGTAGTACGTCTTGAGATTCAGCGACTATATCGTCGGACGTGGCGTTAGACACGAGAACCCGGAATTAATTAGAGATTAGGACAGGCGTCATGATAGCGCCCACTGACCGTTTTATGCTCTCGACCGTGACGAAAAATTTCAAATCGATCCTATACATATATCGCCCAGAAAATATCGTAGACAGGCGTCTTCCCAACTTCCGGATTTCTAAATATGATGATACCAACGCTCAAGAGAAGGGAATACGTCAATAGCAGAATGCGTTCCGCGAAGGCGCCGTTAAAATTATAAGTAGGAGCCGGAAATATATTCTTGGAGACGGCTTCAGAGATATCGCCTGACTCGTTCTGCAAGATGCTCCTGACTTTTTTTTCAGGTAAATCTGTCAAGGGACTACCCGATTCGGGCTTGATATTCATTAAAATCCAATATGTCTGTTCATTAAGACCGTTATATTCGGGAGCGAAAGAATAAATATAATGAATATCCTCTAGAAGATCATCATTCTCCGACGACCAAAGATTTGACGAAGATCTGCGCAAATAATCCTATAGCTTGCATTCCAATTTATATCAGTGCGTATGCTGTCCACGCACCCTTACCAATTCCCATTAGAAAATCTTCAATATAGCATAAGACGGAAAAAATCGTTAATATATAGCTGCTCTTGTATTATATACATTAATATTTTTCAAATAGAAAAGTGAAAATTATACTAGGATATATTAAATATAATTCATAGAAAGAAATTTTTTGCTTCTATAATGATTGCTATCGTCTTCTAAAATAATATCCTACGATAGCCGAGACGAACGATTTGCGGGGGGTAGTCGTAAGTACTAGGAAAGAATATTGTCTGCATCTCTTGTTTTCGCGAAGGATTGGGCCGAGCATTTCCTATCTTAGATTATTTGAAGAGCATTTGCGGGTCCCTGGATATTAAAGCTATCAAATTCGTTTCCATCATATGTCATGCTCATTTTGACACTTCCGAATAAAATAATGAGACGAGATTTCTCTAAACTACTTCTTCTTCGATATCTTATCATCTCACTCGAGTCGAGCAAGAGAGATATCATCAATTAAAATATAGGCGATGGTTATTAGAATCTATTTCAAATCATTTATCTCGAGAAATCTATTTCTTTGAGTCGATGTTTCACTTTTGGCCTCATATTAAGAAAATACTTACTACTATAGACCTCTATAGAAAGATTTCTATATTCAGAACGAGGGATTCGTTTGTTACATATAAATCCTCGACCGTATTCTCCATTTTCCCTCGAATAGAAGAAGAACTGGAATTGAATTCAGACTTAGATCTAAAGTAGAAAGGGGATCGAAACCTATTCCCTCATACTCCAGATCATCTAGAGAATATATTCGAAATCGCCCGGGTCAATCTAGAAATTCAAAATTCAATTTTATTCTTCAAAACTCTAGACAGCTTCCCCTCAAACTCCTAAGTTTTAAAAACTCTGAACCGCTTCATCTCTCATTCTTACGTCTTCAAAACTCTGAATAGTATACCGCTCCTCCCCATGAGGCCTAAAATCCAAAATAATCTATCCCCCGTCCCAAACCCAGATTAGGTAGATAAGGGAGGGAGGGTACCAAATATTTATATATAATTATTGTATTTTTCTTTTTTCTCATTCTAATATGAAGCTAACAGATTGACAAAATTTTTTAAGACTGCCTAACGGCTGGACTGACAAATCTCAGTCGACGGACAATAAACGGTCTCGACTGACGTACTCATAAACTGAGAGATTGTCTGTGAGACTGACAGACCGACACGCTAACAGACCAGTAGAACGACACCCCGAAACATGGAGACATTGATAGACCAGCATCCTGACTCATTGACCGTCTTAGACCGATAGCTGGGCGGAGAGGCGGGGGGGTGGAGGGCACGCGACCGAAATATGTCCGAGATTTTTGGTCGCCCCCCCAGACCAAAAATCTCAAAATTCAAGATCCTCTTGCTTTTTGAAGGGCTCTAAAATCTCAAGAATTTGAGCCCGGAGGAGGCATTTTAATGGAGAGCCGGAAAGGCTAGGCCCGACGCGAGCGACGTGGCCGCAAGTGGCCGTGCCGTTTTATTAAGGTATACTATCCTTCCAATAGTAAACCTCTGATTATGTCCAAAACAAACAAAATCAAACATATTATTTTCATGCTTAGTACTTATCATATTACAATTTTTTGTTTGCCATTTTTTGATACTTGGGAGATGATTTCATGACTAATATTTGAAATTCGTATTTCATATTATCTAGCGATTTATTGAACCGATATATACGAACAATGGCATATGAATCCATATCCCGAACATGCATCAGGATCCTGATATCACTGATTTTGATTCATTCATCAAGTCTCGTGCGTCATCCCCAGCCTGAGAAATTTGCTGTGCATGTGTAATCGTTCTGCATGCTAGGTAGGTCTTTGTCCGGACGCGGAAGGAGCTGAGTTGCATGCCACCTTCGAGCTTCTGGCAGTCTTAACACGCTGGCCTCGAAGGCACACGAAGCTCTGCTGTATGAAGTCTTGCAGGACGTTCGCCATGCTGAGCTGGGGCACGCTGGTTGGAAAAAATCGACAGTCTTGCCCTTGCAAACTCAACTTTGGAGCCTGAACAAAATGCAAAAACTAGAGAGCAACGCAACAAGAGCCTGCAGAGCCGCTAAGCAGAGATGCTGAAACCCAAGCCAGCTGCCTTCTCCTTGGACTGGGCGACTGTCTGCAAGGACTTCACGTCAAGCCAAACAGACTGCAGATGCCCCACCTGCGAGACGGCTGGATCGAACTACGTAAAATTTCGGACAATGTATGCTCACTTGCTTTCTCTGACTTGCGACGCCTTTCCAACGTGATAACTGGGACCTGTGCTGCAAATATGTGATTTGCGAGGAGGGCATCGAATCTCTGATCTTGCTGACAAGCTGCTTGGCTTTGGCCTTGATTGAAGCTCGGCCGCCATCTCCTAAATTCTGTTGCAGTTTGAGGCATGTCAAGCACCCGGAAGCCATCAAACACAACGACGAGGATTGTCCTCCTTCCGTTGCTTCTTTGCAGGAGGTTCATGTCCTGCCAATTAAGGCACACGCCATCTGGGATCGGATCAAACAAGGCTCTGTATTTCAAACTCTTCAATGTACTTCATGCTTACTAACTTGTCATTTTAGCAACCCACTCAGAGACCTCCAGCCCTTAAACCAGCCCCAGCCTAGGTCACAGGGTATAGAGCAGAATTACTCCAAATTTCCCGGGGACAAAGATAATGAATTACCTGGCCTTGCCGGTGCAAAAAAAATCATGGCTTCAATTTTTCCTGCTCTCCTGCTGTTGCTCAACATGACTGCTAGCCAGGCCACGGCTAAATTCAACAGATGATTACTTCTCACGAGATTCACAAAGTGGGGGCCCCTAAGGACCCTGCGCATACATGGGATTTAGAAAGGATTCCGGAGGTCCTTCCCAAGGATTACGTGCGGGCGACTGTGAAACTCCCAGAGCTGCTGTCAATGTCAGGGAGAAGCCAAATGTCCTGAATCATCTGCCTCTTGAGCCGGCACCTCGCAAAAAAGGACCGTCAAGCCGGCAGGCGCAAAGTACAGCGCCATGTTGTCAGCGCCAGTCCTCCAAGGAATGCAATCGAGGAGTAGTTTTTGAAAAAGTGTACGGCCCCGCCAGCGTAAAATGTGGCTGCCTGATGCCGTGCCCCAGCCCCAGAAGCGAACTTCTGCTTTTTCAAAGCTTCCACAATGCATCATGGTGATCAACGCTTGTTTGCATAAATGACGTGCTAGACTGCCAAGCTCATCAGTTCATAGCAACAAAGCTTTCTTGGCTGAGACTGACCCTTCATGCCAAGCCCGGTGCCATGTCATTGGCACTTTGCTTCCTGGTGCCAATCCTGACTTTGCTGCAAACGCGCACCGTCTTTGAACGCATGGTCGCCCAGCTCCAGACTCGTTGCAGCGACATCGCCGCCACCGTCGAAATCGGCGAAGTCCAAGTACCTGCATCTAAGCAGGTTCACTTCTTATCGTAGCGACATGAGAAGCGAGGGTGAGCTTGAACAACTGACGAAAAACGGGATGTTTTGTACTTGGTTTTGTATGGCGTCGAAGTGATTCAGTTTCGGCATTGATGATGCAATCTGAACCGCATCTATGACAACAACAGGCACTGCGCTGGGCCTTGCCAACGAACCAAAATCGAGGGTCTCCTTCCATCTGAGCACTTTTAAGCAGAGCAATCTTGCACCGGACATAGGTCCCGCCTCGATGTACTCACGCTTGGCCGTTTCAACAGGATCGTTCTTGTCCTGCATCTTACCACAAAACAAAAAGCCAATGGCTGCACTACGCTGCAGTGACGTGACCTGACTTTCAACTTTGTCTCCTTCTTCTCTTTGCGTCCCATCGGAAACACCACCAGCCGCCTGTTTTGTGTGTCTCTCGCTGGCATTTCTACCAGGCTACCCGTGCAATCCAACACCAGTTGCTGAAAGCACCTCTGGGCGATTTGCTTTCAGGTCAGAGAGATGTCACAGCAAAAATGCTGCAAAAAAGGCTGAGAATGCTGCTCGGCAACTTTGCCTTTGTCCTCGAGGCCCAGGAAGCTTGCTTTCACTTTCCTCTCCTGACATGAAGGGTGACCTCCCTGGTGGGCTGTGTCGGTTGCAAGAGTCCTCGACGGCCACAAGGACTCTGGCAACACTCGCATCATCGTTGCGGGTAAAAAACACCACCGCTGCCGCTCGGTAAGCTCCCTGGCAAGCCCATGCTTGCGCATGGAACAAAACTTTGATGCAGGGTACTGCCCTCACGCTGTACGAGTATATATTATAGGTCACATGAAGGGCAAGATACTAATTACATTTTAATGCTATCCAACTGTTACAGAGTGGGGGCTGTACGCAACTTTGATGCCTCATCACTTTGTTCAATATGCCCGCTCAACACCCGCCCTCTTGACACGCCTCAGATGTCTGAGCTGTGCCCGTGCCTGCCAGAGCACACCAGATGCCAAGCATCATGTGAGCATAGTCTAAACTCGTGGTATCCGCCTTAATCATAAACCCTATAATACTCCCCTATATGCCCACCTTGGACGGCGTTTTAGACCATAGCTCAAATATCTTGTGCCTTCAGTCTTCGCCGGCTTTCCTTGCGGATTCGCCGCCTATGAGAGCAGGTAGGCATGCGAGTCAAAGCATACTTCCCGCTGAGCTCTATGCAATTTGGACACCTCTGCTGTCTTGTCAGCGGTAGACTTGACTTCAGCCTCTCATTGTTCGCCAGAGAGCCCTTGGCTGGGGAAGTGGAGCCTGACGCTCGCCTTCTTTTTCTTGCCCATCAGCGCGACGGGCACGTCAATTTCAGTCAGTTGAGGCTAAGCATTGTGCTTAAGAAGCTGCAGGGCTCGTTGCAGTCCATGTTGAAATGCGGAGGGGTGAGTGCAATAATTCCGTTTCCCAACTGCCAGATAAGTTGAGTATCATAAGCGTTATCTGATCAGGGACGTGGCTTCATACATGAAGTCTGAGAACGCTCGCTTGAACATTTCATGCCGGCACCTAGCTTTGACGAGAACACACCTTGCACTTGGATCTGGAACTGTGAAGGGATGTGGAGGCCTATCTCGCTGCAAAGCTTTGGGCTGCTCTAGTGGTTGTGGTGCACTTTTTCTTGGTTGCAGGTGAGACGCAACACCCATCCCCCCTACAGCTCCTCTGCGTGCACGTGCTTCGGGAGTGGCCTTGCAAGCATCTGTGATGCATGGAGTGAACCCTTATCCAATGTACGTGCCTTTCTGCATGATCCTCCGTTTGGGAAGGAAGACCCGGGACCTCCGGACAAAGGACAAGTAAGAGTCATCCTCCCTCCCGGAGTTGATCATATGCGAGCTGCAGGTGGTGTTCGCATCTCCAGCTTCACAGGGGGTCTTCATTTTGGTAGCCTTGAGCTTTTACTCGAACAGCTCTTATTCGTCGAGCGCAATCAGCAATAGCTGATGCTTATGTAATGCAACTGTCCCAGCAGTTGCAGGCCTCGAGCTCACGTCCTCGCAACAGGAACTTGCTGAGCACGAGCCCGCAGCCTGAGCACGGCTTCCCTGGTACACATGCCTGTGACTGCGCTTCACTGCTCCGAGGGTGGCACCAAGCCTGCGCTGTACCTGAGATGCCGCTGTGGTTGTTTATCTTCCTCAAACCTTTAATTGTTGGGTTCACATGGATTGTGGATAGTTATCAGCTCTTCCTGCAATTATCATCGTGCCTCGATCTCCATGGCTTTGCGAACTGTCGGGCGAATTGGTTTGCACGAAACCACATCCACCACCTGGACAGTGATCGCTGGCAATTTGAACTTTGGGAACATTCTTGTACTTGGGCCACGCGCTGCATAGCCAAGCTCTGGCCACGTGTGGATCTGAGTTATCAAAGACTTCTGAACTTGAGAGCCACCATCTTTCACAAATCGAAAAATTCCCGAACCTGAAGGAAGCATTTCAGCTGTTCCAGGACACTGGTTCCTGGGCCTCTGGCCGAGAGGTGCGACTCCGACACCAGCAGTAGGGCAGTCAAGCCCTGCTTGGCAGGGTACAGAGCCAAGCCGGCTGTCAAACAGGCAAATCGTTAGGCAAGCAGCTCTCTAAATCTTTTACATGATTAGTTACAATAATGCGAGCTTGCCTGCGGACTCTTGCTTCAGCTGGCCGTGCCTGCGGTTGGAACTTGTGATCCAAGTGACCAAGCTCTGTCAGATCGCCCAAGGCAGCCTCAGATCAAAGGACTCCGCCGAAGCCCATCTGAACTCCGAGCCTCACATGCCGGTCTGAGGCCAGAGCAAGCCTGCTGAGAAGCGTACCTCTTTCATTACTCTGCACGAGAAATGTGTAGCGTGCATGCTGGTGCATCGCCTGCAGCTTGAAGGTCATTCAGTAGCCCATCTGAGCACCCTGAGGCCTGCAGGAATCGGGTATTGCAAGTGCATGTGAATGAGTACAATACATGGATCATGTCACAAGTTGCTGGACGCTTGGCAGGGTTGCCTCGAGCATGAATGTGTGCACGAGGTGACGAGATGCAGCCGTCTGGCAAATATGTGTGAGATGCTGCTCTTGCATCGAGACGTCTCCTCCACCTCAATTTCCTCCGATGCTGCTGTAGCTGGGAGATCGAATCTGCCTCAATCCCAGAGACGACAGGCGTCTCCAAGCGCTGTAGCAAGCTTTAATCAGCCAGTGTGGCGCTGCAATTCTGCAGGGAGCACGAACAGTGAGTCATGCATACGCCTCAATTGAAAGCAAGTACGTGCACCCCTGTGATAAGAGATGTCTTCTCTGAGGACAGGACGGATGATAGTAGGTAGTACTTCCCAAAGATTGCAGAAAACCTACTTGAAACAGACTTTTGCCCACATCTTGTGTGTGTTCTGGTTTGCACTTCCACCCGGGCCTTGCCATCCCACCCAGGTCGCCTCACGCTTCGCGAAATCTGCTGATGTCTACTGCAGAGGTCCAGCAGTGTGGATTCGGGTGCGCCTGCATCGGAGTGAAGGCGTCCGGGGAGCTGAGGAGGAGCAGTCGTGGCAAACCTCATCGTGGAAGACAGCTGAATTTAAGAATTGCAGCAGCACATTGCTCGAGTTGCCGACGGAAGTACAAGCCATCAAACTCATCACCTGGAACCTCCGCTTTCTAAACTTGGTCTGCTAGGCCAACGTGAGTGTCGTACAGACTGAGGCTGTTTCCGTGGGCTGCGGACTGGAACTGCTCATTGCCATGGGCCACCTTTCACTTCACGGCCAATGCCAATTGCGTTTTCGCCTGCGCTTGCGAATCCTATGGTCCGTTCTGAGGGCTGCACGACCGCGTAAAGACTTGGCGATGAATGGCTAGCCTGGGGGGGCGGTAGCGTTCTGCTGGAGCGACACCACGCCAGCATACAAGGTTCATCCAGATCATGCAGGCCCAAACGCGCCAATGCATATAGAATACCCCCGGAGGCAAGACGCAATGATTGTCTTGGGCAAGTAGATTAAAATCAGTCAGCTGCAAACCACCAAAAACTGGGATACCACACCTGAAGCGTAATAACAACAACGACAGCGACGACGACCACCGAACCAAAGCGGATTTCTCGCATCTGATGCTTTTGCGAGGTTCTGTCTCCGCATGATCTGACAACCAGAAACAGGGACCAGGCATAGCTCCAAACTCCTGCAGCATGCCCACGCTGCCTGCCTAGCAGCACAGAGTTGTGATAGTTGGAAACGTGCACATGATGTGAAACTTTAAATTAAAGTATTTTTAGAAGCCTCCTGCGTCAGCAAGCCCCCAACAGCCACTTTTGCCTCAGTCATGTCCTCCCACACAGCACAAAACAGCTTGGCTACATCGATGCAGCGTTTCTGGTGATCAATAACCGCGACATTGTGAATGTTGCCTACTCAGAGCTAGGTGCTACAAGTATAGTGATTCCAAGAGCGGCAGATGGATTGCATGCTGGGGGATCTGAAAAGTCTTGGGGCCTGGCTCGTAGCAGCCTCCAGTATCGTGATAGCAGCTGGGAAGTTCTGGATATGTTCGTGCCTGGCCTGTGAAAGGCCTTTGTCCGTGGAAGTCGTGTTGTCCTCCTGCTGGGCAACCTGTAAGGCTCCAAGAAGACTTCGTGCCGCTCTTGGTGATGCTTCTTGCTTAGCTGCGCACCAAGGTTGATCCAGCATGTTCACGACTACCAGATCAAACTTGCTGTGCGCATCCTGTGTGAGCCTCCGAAACCACTTCCGTGGCAATACATGCCGCATCTGCGACATGAGAGGATCTGAGCCCATCTCCAGGCAAAAACATCTGCAATGATGAGCTCGACCCTGAGCAGCCGCAGCTACTTGCCACCGAGCTTGATTCTCCAGAAGCTCGACGGCGGCCTGGGATCCGAAAGCACCTCGGCCTGCTTGGGGAAGTGCTTCCTGACGACCTCCACTATGATCATGTCTGCCTGCGTGCGTGCAACGGAGCCATATCAGTGCACAAGCTTCTTTGCTGATCTCTTGGAAACTGAGCATGAGGAGTGGTTGGGGCGAGAGAACTTTCAGAAGGTAGTGTGGAGGAGGGCTAACTCTTGCCTCTTCAATGGGAACTCGTCTCATGCGCAGGGAACGTTTTAATTGATGGATCAACAAACGGCAGTATTTCTGCAACAGCAGCAAGAGCAGCAACAACAACAACAACAACAACAACAAAAACAACGACAACAACGACAACAACAAAAACAACGACAACGATGACGACGATGGCGACGACGACGACGACGACGACGACGACAACAACAACAACAATGAGTTACTAGCTGCTGCTGCCGCTGCTGCTGCTGCTACTACTACTACTACTACTACTTCTTCCTGCTACTACTGCTACGACTACTACTACGACTACGACCACTACCATTACCATTATTACTACCGCCGCCGTGCCGCCACCGTCTACCACGACCACGGCCATGACCAGCCCACCACCGCCACCACGGCCAACCACCACGATGACGAGGACGAGGACGATGTCGCTGTTGTTGCTGCTGATGCTGCTACCACCACTATGATGATACCATGAATATAACTTCATCCAAAACGTCGAGACTATGACATCTGCTGTAGTTGTTATTGCTTGAGTTTCTGCGACGTTTGCTGCCATTGCTGAGGCCTGTTTTGGACGTCTGCTTGCACGTTTACACGGTAGTTTCCCTAGATAGGCGGCCCCCATATATACCCTAATATACTGTAAGACTCATTATAGGGACCCATTTTTATGGTATCCCTAATTTTGGTAAACCCCAACATCTTGGATGCAGAGGGCAAACCGAGCTGGGACAGTGAACCGGATTCTGGATATCGGCCCTGGGCTTTCCAGGCCACTTGGACATTGGGGTAAAACCTAGGGGCCCCATTCTGAAGTAAAAGTGGTCTGTTATAGCCCCTGGGCTGTCCAGGTTTGTTTTTCCGGTTGTGGCGAGTGCCTGGTTTTGAGTGGGTCCTGTGCGTTCAAGAATGTTTGAACCGAAGAAGATTAAACTGATCTATGCGGTTGCTGATGTTGTGCTTTGAGTGATTCAGCCATTGTGTTGGCACCCGAGGAGCTGCGTGCAACGCAGGATCCGGAATGACTTTAAGAGGGCGCTGGGGTGCGTTGTGTTGTCTTTAAGGTAAAGAAAATATGAGTGACAGTTCATGCTTCTACATTTCTAATTAGGCATCGTCTGGGATGTCACATTCGTAACCACCGTGTCGCCCACCTTGAAACTTGTCGCATGTCTCAACCCGGCTGCCTGAAAAGATAACTCTCGCTTACCTTTAGTTGATTTGGCGCACATTTCTGAAGATTTGTCTGCTGCATGCTTCTGTTCATGACGCCCAGTTGTTCATGCTCCGAAAAGCCGGAAGGGACCTGGAAACGTCTGTGGAGATCATAATTTCCTGCCCTCCATCCCCTTCCCATGGGTGTTTGATGTGCTGAGCAAGTTCAGAACTACCTGATGAGGCTAGATTGGTTACATACTCATTTCTGAAGACCTATTGCCTACCCCGCAAACGTCCGGTTTGCATGTGCTTGCTTACCTTGGTGGCCCTTACCCCGCCCTCCGCCCAGAAAAAGAAATAAAGTAAGACCATCACTCTTTGGCCCATATTTCTCAGGCAACCATCCTTGACAAAGTCTGCTACCTGCACTGCCTGCTGCTGCAACTGCTGGTGATGTTGCTGCAACTCCTACACCTACTTCTTACTTGCGGCAACGGTGCTGCGTCTATATTACGATTTCCAGAACCACAAACGGATACTTTCTGTAATGCCACTACAGTTACTATAAATCGTGCTGCTGCAGCAAAGCCGACGCCGATGGCCAGAGTTTGCCTTGCAATGAGCCTTGTTTATCGTAGAAAACTGCAGTGCAAGCAAACACGACAAAGTTGTGCAGAAACAGGGCTGACACTGCTGTAACAGGTTCAGGAAGCATTATGCCTCTCCACTCTTACCGAGCTGTGAGGTTTTCAAAGCTCCCCGTGAGCCGCACACAAGGCTCTTCAATCCGTGCGCCAATAAGTTTCCATGTCTGCGCGCAATGTCACAGCAAAAACGCGCAACTGCCAACCTCAACCACAACGATCCTTTCCACCGTGGGCCAGTGAAGAGCAAGTGCTGCTATGCTGCCTGTCCTGCCAAGACAGGTCTTTTGCTGCACGCTGGTGCTGTTACTTGATGGACGTACTGCCGGCTAATAGGGAACGCGGAATGGATCTGCATAGTCGCGCCTTTCCAGCCCCCAACAAGACAACAATTTCTGTTCTTGTCCATTCCTTCACTTCCTACTAACCATCAATAAGTTAGGGGCGCACAGCCGAAAGTTTCCCTGGACCCCTACATATTCCTCGTTTCGGACCTTCACTGCTGGGAGTGGAGTCGACATTTCTGAGCCCTCTTCCTGTCAGCCCAGAATGGAAAGAGTCTCTTTGCTGAGACTTGAGGTGAGATGCCTGGGCGGTCCGAGCTAGTTTTTGAGAACTCCGTACATGCGAGCTTGCGGCTCCAAGCAGCACGCAAACTGATCACTACGCGCGGGTCCACACGGAATCCGAAAATCAGAACAAGCTTTGAAAGCAACGCACGCTCGCAGGGCTGTTTGCATATAAGCCTGCATCCCTTGGTCAGCACAAGTGCGCTTCATGCTGTTTCACTACGTTCTGCGCCAGCTTAACGAGTAGGAAAAAGTCGGTTTGAAAGAAACTTTGGGCTGCCAGGCCCAAGCCCTCTTGCTGCAAATCTACCAACATTAAGCCGCAATTGCCACGCCCGATCTTGGTAAACCGTTCTGTGAATTGTCGTGCACACTTGACAAAACTGTGCAAGGCAGGGTCCCGCCACCCAGAACCAGAACCTGAGTGCGCATGCATTTTCAAAACTGACCTGGATGATTCACCGTGACAACAAGGTTGCCAAATCAGAATATTCAACCACCAGAGGGGACAAAACACATGATGAGAACGAGCGCAGTAGATGCTGTGTCCCGGGCAGACTTGCAACGGTCACCAAGCATTACCAAAGCTGGAAGCAGCAGGATCTCATCCTCAGGTTGCTAGTCTTCCATGGAAGGGAATCCGAATTTGGTAAAGGCCCTGACTCTTTCCAAGGACTTGGAGTCGAGAATCAAGTCGCGGTCCTGATAAAGACCTGAGTTTGGAGCAGGTTTTGGTTAGTCACTGGGGCAAGTAACAGTGGACCTTCAGCTTTGCGGGCTGAATCAAGGTCTCGTGCTCATAGACTCTTTATCGGCAGCGACTTTCACCTCAAATATAATTGAGATCTGGAGTTACAAGAAGCAACAACTTGCTATCCAAGTCTAGGCCTTGCTACCATCGAGCCCTTTGGTTCTGAATATGACCTTGCCATGGGATGTGCCAGTCTTCTAGGTTGCTAGCTGGTGAAACCCTGCAAGGCAGTGCCTTCTCGTCGCCCGACTTTATGTTTTTGAACGCAGGCAGAGGTAGCGCCACTGCAGATGGTGCTTGCGGAGATCCCTGACGTACCATTCAAGGCAGTAGCTGCGACAAGCCCACCACATGTTGAAATCGCAAGCGCCTTCTGGTCCAAGTCCAGCGGTAATCCCAGCAAGCGGGACCTCGATGGACCCTGTTGTGTTGATAGATGTTGATAGACAGTCAAGCGCTGCTCAACAAATGCACGTCCGAAGCACCGCCACTCTGAGAATGGCGCACATCAGCAGGGACAGCTCTGAAGAGAGCGTGATGCTGCGCCGCTCCACCCTTTGGCTGCACAATGCATGGCACTCGCGTGAGCAATCAAGAATTGGCCTTATTTCTGGCAAATCTACGGCACATTTGAGCTTCTGGCATAGTATTGCCCAGCTATGTGTTGCCTGCAAAGCAGAAAGGGAAGAATATGTCTGAACCATACTCCTAGCCACTCTTGCTTGAGATGGCTACCCTAGCACGTTCTGCACTGCCCTGGTTCCAAATTGATCTGTGGGATTTGCCCGGCTCTACTTTTTTCCTATATGGTCGGCCATCTGGGCCTCTCCCAAGAGGTCCAGTCTACGTCGGCGGTATCCAACTCCTTCACACCTGACAACCAGCAAGCCCCAATGGCAACATGTTCTTGAACACTTCCTGAGGCACCAGCTGCTCAGCACCAGTATGTATGGACCCCTGCCACAACTTTCTGGAACATCTGGCAGCGGCATCATCTCCAACTCCAAAATGCGGCGGAGCTACAAATAGTCGGGTATCGTTGCGTGCATCGGGAAGACCTGCCGCGCTGTGGGAAAACATTGGGACAACAGTAGCATGGGAGTATCTCACAAATTTCGCTAGTGAGGGACCCTGGGGGGTAAGGGGATGCTAAGCAGATTGTCGAGTACCTGCATATGAATTCTCTCTTCAATATTTTTGAGAAACCCCGATATGGTGGCCAAGCCTGAAGCATCAGTTAACAAAAGATGCAGGGTTGGCAGTAGCAAAAACCTCTGCATGGGCAGTGAACACCTTGCGCATGTCTTGTGGGTTCAGGATCCTTAGAGTGGTCTGCGCAGCACGAATTTTGGTCCACCTTGCTGCTTCGCACAGATTCAGCCCGAGGCGTGCCAACATTCTGCACCACTATGCCATCTGTGCTGAGCAAACCTTTCTGAAGGCCCACTTGAAAAGCTACAAGAAAGCTCAACTCAATGGCCTTTAAGCTGTAGGAAGAACTTCTTCGACCACGCCCTGTGCCACAGTCAGATCGAAAGCCACTCCTTTGCGTGCAGCTATTCAGTCGCAGGCCCTTTGATAGGCTCATCCGTAAAGTCAATGACCACAAGGTCGAATGATGCCATTCCCTTCTCTTGCTGCTCCTCCACCTGAGGCTTTTCCGTTTGACAAACTGCAGCAGGCAACAGCTGAAACTTCGCGCTACAACTAAGACCGCAGCCCATGCAAATGCATCAAGATGAAGCATCTCGCATCTGCTGTCATTGAGACCCGCAGCCACTTTCGGAAACCACCTTCAAACAACGTCTCACAATGGTACCATCTGCAAATATCTGACAACTGCTTCAATATGCAAGCGTGAACACATCTGCCAGGAGCGCACTTTGTGGCTGCCCTGGTGACAAAGCTGTCAATGTCAACATTGACGACCTGAACACGGAAGCTCCCTTCTGGCTTCTTCTGACATAGGGGTTCTCAAAAAGGGGTGATCCGGTTATTGATATCGAAGCTTTGGCGAGACTGTAAGTGCCTGAAAGAACTATGCAGGGATCCTGTTGAGAAACTCCTACATGCTACTTGATGAAACAAGATGACGAAACTACTTGGCAACATGCCTCGTCAAACACAAGAATGACAGTTTTAGGATCAAACAGCCTCTTGACAATCTGCATATATTTTTTTAAAATGGACCCAAACCCGCAAATATGTCCAAAAGCCATGCTCGCATGCAGCACCCCTGCCTGCTCCACCGTGTCAAAGCGTAGTGCAGCGGTTGCAACTCCACCATCCTCAATCATGCACGCAAGTCTCGGTAACATCTAATGCTTGGAGTACTTGGCCTTGCTATCCTGTGCCGGGGTCCCAACTCCGCCGCCCAGGATCAGTACCCTTCGCTTTTTGTTTGCGCCCAGCCTCGGAAAGGACATTAAACAATGTCCTTTCGTGTGGACTGGCTTGAGGCAAATCAAGGCGTCTGGCAAGTTGAGACCTGGATAGACCATGGCTTCGTGATAGTATCGCCTATGCATGCAGCGGGGATCACACAAGCAAATCCAAAATCAACTGGCAAATGCATCAGTGTGGCTCGAATACATCGCTGATCTGCCGGACGTCACCCAACCTCTCTCATCCCGAAACATGTCTCACTGAGCTTTTGACAGCTGTGCAACTGCAGACCCCCTAAGACCAGCACACGAGCTCTCTGCAAAGCTTGTCCCCACACATATTAAGCCACACCTCACGGACACTGGACCAACCACACATGCAGATGATAAGTAGGTCATGGGTGCAGTCAGTTCTTCAATATCACGCCATTTGGTACGCTGTCTAGTGGCCACAAACCCTTCCACAGGTCGTCAGGCCTCGCCCACTTGGTACTTCGACTTCCACTTCTCCAGCCTCAAACAGAACCACGTGGATAGGGGGCATGCGGAGCCAACGCTGAGCGTCGAGGCTCCTTCTGCTTGACACCGACGTGGGGGACAGCAATGGCCTGGGCCCCGCTGGAGTTCTGAGAACTCTGCAATCAACTCACCTGCAAGGGCTTGCTGCCAAGCATCGACTGAACCAGTCAGGGCCTGCAAGATGCCTTTGATGGCAGCCTTTCGAGAACCAAAGGCGTTTTTGTAGCAAGCCGCTGTTACCGTAAACTACATGCCTCAGCAGCAGCTACATAGTCCCCAGATAGAAGGTGAGCTTGACAAAGTGCTTCTGCCTAAAGGAATGCAGAAGAGTATTGACATTTGCATTCCATGCCAGTTTTGCAGGCAAGGATGTGGCAGACAGCCATTCCGCAGATTCCCGGATGTGCTCCTAGCCAGCAGGCTACACTTCGATGTTCTTTACGTGCTTCGTGCTAGTGCAACGACAGCGTCCTCGCCGCCTGGCAAGTCTGGTTGCAGTAGGGACCCTGCAAGACTCACCGAGGCTGCCTGATTTCCAACTGAATGCGTTGCGGGGTGTTAGCAGAGTCGTTCGCTATGAGTGGGAATCAGGAGGGTGAGAGTCGGGAAATAAGGAGGCCAGAGTCCGGAAGAAAGGAGGCTAGAGTCGGGAAACAAAGGGGTGGAGTCGGGAAGGACCGGAGGCCAGAGTTGGGGAATGTGGAACCAAACGTCATGTAAATTTACATGATGTCCTACCCCAAGATCGTGTTGGTAAAATGTTCATGTGCGGGCACTCCCCAAACTAAGGTCCCCCAAAGCGATGATAGCTTCTCATGCGGTAATTTCAGTTCCCGCATCGGTGATTTTACTTTCCGAATCGGAACAGCAATGTGAACTTCTGTAAGCCCCCCAAAAGCTAAGGCCTTTTAGAAGTTCAGCTAAGGCTTTACAGAAGTTCAAAGTGCTGCTCCATTTTGTGTCAAGTAAGGTGGACACCCCACCCAGTAAGAGTGATTTGAAGGGACAATAAGGAATATATTAGGGTCCTGCTATATTCGAATAATACCCCTTTTACAGGGTGGGGGGTCCTCTGAAGTGATAAAGGTTTAGGGATGAGGGTCTAGGGATTAGGACTCCAAGGGGGTAAAATCCTCCAACAAGCCTCGTTGGTAGTTCTGACGGAGAAAAACGTAACACCCTGTGAGTATGGCCATAGTCTTAACCCCTAGAATCTCCCTTAATCAGGGCTATCATAGGAACACTAGAATCCCCTATATAACCCCCCTTTATAGAGTTTGGACTATAGCTCATATGAATAGTTTCTGTGCAAAAAATCATGTAAATTTACATCCTGTTTTGCATGCTGGACTAAGAGCATGGTTCCATGGTTCCCGACTCCCTCCTTTATGGTTCCAGACTCCTGCGCACATTTCCTGATTCCTGCCCTGCAAATTTCCCGACTCTCGCCCTTGTATTTCCGGACTCCCAGGCCCTGACACCCTTTCATGATGAATGACTTCGACAGCGCCCATGCGTTGCGCGTGCTTGGACCCTACGTGGCCGAATCGGTCGACTAAGCTGCAGGCACCCAGCACAACCAGCACGCTCGGCTGGGCTCCGTTGAGTCCTAACTCCTCTGTCGGCAGGCTGTGCTTTTAACACTTTCTACCAGATTTCTCTGGAGCCCTCTGGGCCCCATCGCCTCCGCCAACCGCGCCGCAGCTGCTGCATTGATATCAACCTCAAAAATTCATACCAAGGGGTTCCAGGTCATGCCTTCGCCGCCCATCGGAAGCTGAGCTCAATGCCGAGTCCACCAAGGCAATCCCCGCATGCACGGCAAACTGAACGCGGCAGACAACACGCGAGGGGCATGGTTGAAATCCAAGGCCATATTCCAATAGGATCCCCGTTTCCATCTTATTCTCAATTTCATTTTCCATTTGATTCTCCACGGTGGCTTGTTCAGGAATATCCCTGAATCCAGATCCCCCCGAGCCCAGCATAATCTGGAAATATGAGTAGGCGACATGCTTGCCTGATTAGATTATTTAAGCAACAACTCTTTAACAGCAATCCAGATTCAGAGCTGTTGACTTCGCAAACTTCAAGTAAATCAAGTGAGTCTATCCGACTGCGTAAACGAAATTAGATTGACCAACTAGTCTCTAGACTAGAAGGTTCCTGACAGAAACACCCTATTCCAGAATTTGAGAGGAATGGGCGTTTCCGACATGCTTTTTCCTGAGGTTGTTGAAAACGCAGTTTCTGCTGCGTGCTGCCTCATGTCTGAAGCTCGAATCAGCCTAGTGTTACAAAACACGTTCCTAGCGCAATTGTTGGATTTGCAGAAGGCTTCTACCGCGCAGCTTGTTTTTCCATCTAATCATAGACAGCAACAGAACAAAGCAACATAGCGATTCCTGAAACTCATTCAAGACGCGATTCATTGATTCTATGGATTCTCCTGCGCACTGCTTCATGTTGAGATGTGACAAATGATCCCAATCATCCAAATTTATAGACTAAAGATACGATTCTTTTGGACGTAGCTCACACCATCCTCTGTGCCGCGACTACTATAACACACTATAACCTACTATAATCTACTACTATAATATACTGTATATACTGTTATATGGGATATTATACTACTTGTGACATGTGACGTTATTCTGCTGACCTCAACAGGCAGGGCTTGGAGATTGGAGCGCCTGGGAGTTTCGACATGGCCGTCTGACCCCTTGCGGTAGGCTGCTGACATGCCAAATGCCCATGGGGTTCAGTGACACGTTTGATGAGCATGTTTTTGAGGCTTCCGTCGTCCATTCATTGGCTTTTCGACTCCCTAGGCAGCCCTCGCCATCCACAAACCGTTGATATCTTTTTTCTTGTCTTTCATCGTCCGGACCTCTTTCCCCTCGCGACCTGGGCCCCGACCAGCACCTGGACCCTGATGCGCAGACACGGACGAGAACGTCGTCCTCGTCGTCGTAGTTGCGGTAGTGACAAAAACACGGCGCGCAAGCGAGGTCTGCCCGCACTCTGTTCTCAGGTTGGGAGTTGTTTAGGGTTTGGGGTCTGGGGCTTGGGATTCTTTAGGGTGGGGGCTTGGTGTTGCTTAGCGCTTTTTGTTCGGGGACGTTTAGGATTTGGCTTTATTTCCGGGTTTGGGATTTGCTTCTTTAACCCGTCGGACTTTTGCGTTTGCCTGGCTCGGCACGAGCTTATGCTTCGTATTTTCAGATCCGTTTGGCGTTTGGGGTTGTTTACGGTTTGGGAGTTGTTAGGGATTTGGGGTTTTGTCTGTTTTGAGGTTACCAAGGGTTTAGTGCGTGCTTCCGTTTGGGCCTTGGGATTCTTCACGCCTAGGGGTTTGGTGTTTTCTGGGGTCCATGGCTTGGGAATCTTTAGGGCTGGGGGCTGGATGTTGCTTAGGGCTTCGTGTTTGAGGTTTTGTTCAAGGGCTGGGTTTTGCTTGAGGTTCATTGTTTGGGATTGTGTAGGGTTTGAGTTTTAGGCTTGGGGTTGTTTGGGGTTTAGGGTTGTTTAGGCTTTGGGGTTTGGCTTTGTTAGGTTTGGGGTCGTTTGGAGGTCAGGGTTTGAGCTTGGGGTCACCTGGACTAGTTTTTGGGTAACGGTATTGGCTTTGGGTTCGCTGAGGCTTTGGCCTTTATTCTTATGCTTTGGAGTTGTTTAGGGTTTAGGGTTCAGGGTCTTCAGGGTTTAGGGTTGTCTAGGTTTAAGATTTTGGGTTGTTCATGGTTTGGGTCTGGTTGGGGTTTGGGGTTGCCTGCGGAAGATTTTGGTGCAGGTTTTGGGCTTGTTGAGGCTGTGGCTTTGTTCAGGGTTTTTTAGGGTTGTTCAGGCTCCTTTCGGGTTTAGGCTGGGCTGCGCGAGGGTGTTGGCGATTCGCCTGCTTGTAAGAACGATCAAATGGAGGCTTTTGGGTTTAGGTTGGTTTATGACTTGTGGGTGATCCTTTCTCCAAGGCATGCATTGTGCAAAATCTCGATTAGGGACGGTCCTTCTCGCTGGTTATTTAGGGTTTACGGTTTGGGATCATTGATAGTGTAGGGTTTGATGATCATGTCAATCTCCGAGCAAATCTGTTCCCTGTGCTCGTTACTTTCAAAGATGATATCGTACGGGCCACAGAAGCTTACACATGTAGGGGACTCATACAGGCTTCGTACGGTATAAGGGACTCATACAAGCTCTGTAAAGATAAGGACCCTCATAGGCTCTGTCAATCTGATATAGGGAACCTACTACAATCTCCGTAAGGGACTTGCATCATGTTGTGCCATAGGACACCCATTGAAGCTTCATACGAGGATTCATATTAGATCTACAGCTAATACCGGACCTCTTAGCACATAGTGGCAAGTAGTGACAGGAACGACGTCCGCGACGGTAACAGTAGCGCTAGCGCCGGTAGTGGCCAGGACCCAGACCCAAACCATCCTGGACCTGACCAAACCCGGACCGGCGATGCGGCCGAACCCAGACACCACCCGAACGTGGGTAAGAAAAAATATGTACCGGCTGCCTGCCAACCGGCTCTCAAGATCGGCCACAGATTATAGTATATTATACTATAGCATAGTATACCATAATCTAGTTTACTACAGTATAGTCTGTTTTACAATATTTCAATATATTATAGTATATTACAATACATTATACCATAATAAACTATAATATAATATTAGAATTGCTTGTTGTATCAAATATCAAGAAGGGATACATCTTCGTGAAAGGTCGAAACTGTCTTGGTTGAGGAGCACGGCTACATCATACTGTTTGCCGCGGATAGACCTTTTCCCCAGACCAAAAACATACAGACTCCTACCTGCCCGTGGCAGATTGGACTCAGGATGTGAAGAGATCTACAAAACAAAGAATGCAGCCAAGAACCTGACAAGATGCCTCAATGCATCGCTGCCGGCCTGGCCGAGGTGTCGATCTCCCATCCTTTCCTGGAAGCTCTTCAGCAGCGCTGCCAGCGTTTCTGCACCATCCTGCACCCCGCACAGTCACAAGTGCTAAGTGCTATGGGACCTGAACTGCAACAGTCCTTGGACCAAGCATTCCTGGCCAACAAGCCATCCGGATCATGAAGGATCACACCTGGAACATATCCCCAGTTCGCTGGTTGCATGAGGACAGAAGGCTCTGAGGCTATGGCCATCCCCCTCTTGTGTCACAGCCTATCAGCTGCTAAAGATGCCAGGAGTGCAATTGGCAAAAAATGCCGTACCGCAGGCATGCTTGCGGGAATATGTGGCTAATCAAGACATGTAGACTCTCATGTGTAATACATGCTTTGAACAGCCAGGTTGATCCCCGTTCACTGAACCATCATGGCCTGTGACAGCTGCCAAGAAATACTAGCTCAGGACTCCTTAATACAGGGCTTATATG